GGGATAACAGTTGTATGAGCCCCTAATAAAATGTCACAAAAAAAAAAAGAAAGAACCAGGAAGACCTAGACCGTAGAAGAGTCGAAGCATTTGAATTAGGATAACAGTTTTGAGTTCGACCATAAAAGTATTATGTGAAAAAAAAAAAAAAAAAGGTAAAGTCATTATACAACAACTTCACACAAAAGGTGAAGAATATAAAGCTAAATACTTTTTTAAAATCATTCTATTGGGGGCTCGTACAACTCTTATCACAAACCATTCATAGTGTCAGGCACATTTGTATATTTGTTGCCACCATCATTCTCAAAACAACTGCTTTCTACTTGAGCCCTTGCTATCAGCTAATTTCCCCCCTCCCTCCATCCCCGCCCTCTCTCCCTCAAGAACCCTTGATAATTTATAAATTATTATTATCTTGTCATGTCTTACACTATCCGACAACTCCTTCACCCACGTTTCTGTTGTCCATCCCCCAGGGAGGAGGTTATATGTAGATCCTTATGACTGGTTCCCCCTTTCTACCCCACCCGCCAGGTATTGCCACTCTCACCACTGGTCCTGAGGGGTTCATCTGTCCTGGATTCCCTGGGTTTCCAGTTCCTATCTGTGCCAATGTACATCCTCTGGTCTAAAGCTAGACAATTTAATGCCAACACATGATGGTTTGAAAATTTTAGAAAGCTGTTTGGCTTGAAGAAGGTCAACATTACAGAAGACACAGCTTCCATCATGGCTTGGGTCAGGTGGACCTTAGTCCTCAGAGTAACATCCTTGCTTTTCAACACTTTGAAAAGGTCTTAGACAGCAGATGTCCCCAATGCAATGTGTCCTTTGATCTTGTATTGCTGCGTCCGTGAGCACTGATGGTGGGTACATGCTGTAGTATCATGCAATCATGTTTTTCCTCTACCTTTCAGGGTAGACCGACCACATTCTTACTATTTTGGATCAACTCTTAGCACAAATTCTGGACTGAAATACATTTAAAAAACCTAAACTATCATCAAGTTGATGCCAACTCATAATGACCCTAGAGAACAGAGTAGAACTGCCCCTGTGGGTTTCCAAGGCTGTAAATCTTTACAGGAGTAGAAAACCTCATCTTTCTCCTGTGGAACAGATGGTGATTCAAACTGCTGACGTTGTGTTTAGCAGGGTAACAGGTAACCAGTAATCAATCGGGGCTTCCGCTACAATGATTACCACATCATCCCACAAGCTGTCCAGTTTGCACGCACAAAAAATATGCTCTGACAGACTGGTCAAAGTAAAAAGCAGCTGTGGGGAGGAGAGAAAGAATTCCAATTTGATGTATTTTCATCAATCACCCTAGAAGGAGCCCTAGTGTTGAGGGAGCGGTCTGGGGGCTGCTAACCACAGGCTGCCAGAGCTTCAAGATATCACTGCTGACAGGATGGAGCTTGACTGAAAGCAGAGAAGACCAGAAAGATGTTTGCTTGTGTTTGACTGGCTATGCTAAGGCATTTAACTGTGTGACATGAAAAACTATGGGTGGTCTTGAGAAGAATGGGAGCCCCAGAACACTACATTGTGGTTATGTAGAACCTATAGAAGGATCCGGAGGCAGCTGTGCAAACAGAACAAGGGCATACCGCATGGTTCAAAATCCGAAAAGTTGTGCATCAGGGTTGCAGCCTTTCACCAAACTGATTTCATCGGTATTGAGAAAATTCAGTAGCATGATGAAAACACGTGAGACATTCATCAGAGAAGCTGGATTATAAGAAGAATACGGCATCAGGATTGGAGGGAGGCTGATTAACAACCAGAGATGTGCAGATGACACAACCGTGCTTGCTGAAAGTCAGGACTTAAAGCACTTGCTGATGAAGATCAAGGATTTAGCATGGATTACAACTCAATGTACAGAAAACCAGTATCTTCACAATTGGACCAGTAGGTAACATCATGATTAACGGAGAAAAGATTAAAGGTGCGAAGGATTTTGTCTTGCTTGGATCCAAAAATCAATTCTCAAGGAAGCAGCCATCAAAAGATTTAAGTGATTTGTGCTTTGTACAATTAATCTATGTATGGATTGTGATAAGAGTTGTATAAGCCCCCAATAAAGTGACCTAAGAAAACAACAACAACAACAAAAAGATTTAAGTGACACTTGATACGGGTGAATCTGCTGCACGAGACCAAGCAAGGGTGTTACTTTGAGGACTAAGGTGCACCTGACCCAAGCCATGACATTTTTAATAGCCTCTTAAGCAAGTCAAAGTCGGACACTGAATAAGGAGGATCAAAGAAGAGCCGAGGCAATGGAATTATGGTGCTGGCAAAGGATATTCAAAGTACCGTGGGCTTCCAAAAGAACCCACACACCTGCTTGGAAGACGTACAGCCAGAGTCAAGGACAGTGAGACTTCATCTCCTGTACTTGGACGTGTGGTCAGGAGAGACCAGTCCCCGCAGAAGGACATCGTGCTTGGTAAAGCAATGGGGCAGCAAAAAAAAAAAGAGGAAGATCCTGGACAAGATGGACTGGCACAGTGGCTACAGTGATGGGCTCAAAAGTCAGAACCACTGTGAAGGTGGCACAGGACGGGCAGTGTCCATTAGGGCGTACACAGGCCACCGTGAGCTGGAACAGACTGAGCGCACCTAACAAGCACCCAAACCACCGCTGGGCTGGGAGTGGACACGGACCAGCTGCTCCACAGGAGAAAGACTGGGCTGACTGTGCAAAACCGTATTCGGTGTCAAAACGAAAGGTCACGAGGAGCTGGAAGTGACTCAAAGGGTCACTCACTCCAGGGGCAGGGAGTGAGGAGAAAACAACTGTACCTCTGATAGTCTTCCAAAGCCATTCCCTCCTTGAAAGGCGGATAGAAAGGAACAGAATAAGGACACTTCTGATGCAGGTGAGCAAGAATGAGGTCCCCCACTTTGGGGTGCAGCTCCCAGACCCCAGATGCTACAACTGCAATGGGGAATGCTGCTTCATGATGAGAGGCCACCTCCTCCTCTCCTTGTTTCTGGAAGCAGACAGAACAACTGTCAGTCACGATCGGAGAATGGTTTAAACATTATACACCGACCTTTTCTCCCCATGATTCGAGAAACAAGGTGTCTCACCACAAACTTCTCTGCCAGTTTGTACTGGACAAAGTCCAGCCCCTGTGGGGTAAGTGCGACGGACACGGAGCGTCCCGCAGATTGAACCGGTCTTCCAGAGAGCAAGCTGTGGATCTTGTCGAAGATCTCCTTCAGTTTCGAGCCTGGGCGTGAGAGAGACCACGTTAAAGCCACAAGAGCAGAGCTGTAGCTCAAGCTCCTTTTCATCCTTGTAGCAACGAGGCATCCTACAGAAGTTCAAACTCTAAAAATAAAATATCAAGGCAGAAGAACATGTGACAATCAAAGACATGTTATGCAATATGCTAAACAACATCAGCCATGGCACTGTTCCCAACATGGAAATGACAAAGAGACAAACGATATGAGAACAGTTATTGTGTGCACAGTTCCCAAGGGCTGTGGTTAACACAACTACAGGAGTAGCCTCTCGAAGACCTTCTAAAGGGTCTACAGATCTCCCAATGGCAGCCCCCGCTGTCTCTCCCCATGCTCAAAGACACAAGCATGAGGTCCTGAGAGGTCTGTCTTAGCACCCCTTCCTCCCACTTGCTCCAGTGAGATTAGGGACAGTCAAGCTGAGCGTCAGTTCCTTAAGGTGGCTGGCTGGCCCTGCAACTGTGCACTGATGGGTAACAGGGCAGTCACCTTACGTTTGCCACAGGGACCAAGAAAAAGCAGTCTCTACGAGAAGAACGGAGATGTATAGAGGGAATGGGATGAGCGAGGTAAAGGGACCTCCAGTGTCTTGTTCCTCAGACCTCCATCCGTTTGTGCTGCTGGGCCCTATGCAGCACTTGTTTGTCTTTAGGAAGAAGGTCTGTGGTGTGCGTGCAAGCAAACATGAATCAATCTATCACCTGAAATCAGAGTGTCAAAGTAATACAGCATCTCCAGTTTAAGAACACCTTCTCAAGCTCCTAGACACTTCAGAAGGTGTTGTCTCAAAAACATCCTACAGGGGAACCGATGACAAGAATCTAGGTATTGCCTCTTCCCTGGGGAGGGACAGCAGAGAAGAGGGCAGGGGGAGACGTCAGACAGTGTAACTTATGACAAAGCTATAATAAGTTGTGAATTATGAAGGGTTCATGAGGGGGCGTGGATTGCCAGGGAGGGGGAAAATGAGCAACTGATAATAAGGGCTGAGGTGGAGGGCAAATGTTTTGAGAATGATGAGGGCAATGAATGTACATATGTGCTTGACACATGGATGGATGTATGGATTGTGATAAGAATTGTACGAGCCCCCAATAAAATAATTTAAAAAAACCAACATCCTCTACAAACCACTTAGTCAAACCCAACAAAAAAAGAAAAAGAGAGCCACCCACATTTCTTAGGAAGTAAGAAACAAGCATGAAGGAAAAAAAGAACTAAATAATGAAATGCCATGGAAATCCTAGGAAGGCGAAGCATCCCAGAAATAGAGCCAAGCCCCACTGATGTCAGAATATGCACATTTCCATAAACATGTCCCTACTCATATTCCTGCTGAGTCACACTCACTGCTTTACAGGTTCCCCAACGCTCCACTGGCTACGCCGTTGCCTCTCAAGCCTAGTTCCTCTCTTCATTCTCTCCAGCTGGGAAACTCAACGCGTGACCATATCCACGCAGTGATGCCCTCTTCCCACTGGCGACGCCAGCAACATACTCTCATTCACATTCTCCTTCGAATCTAGCTGCTTGTAGACACCATTTTTCTTTTTTTAATTTTAATAAACCATTTTATTGGGGGCTCTTACATAATAATCCATACATCAATTTTATCAAGCACATGTTTACATATGGAGCTGAGAGATCTCTAGCAACTTCTTTTTGACCTCCTGTTCAAAGAAATATTAATTTATGTGGTCACAGAACCAGTTTTTCTTAGTTTTCTCTTAAAGACACAGAAATCAGGTCCTTCTCACTCATCCAACATTCACAAAGCACTGACTGTAGAGCATGCTCCATGTCTGACTGGATTGTTATGTCTTAAAGGACTTATAATAATGATGGAGAAAAAGGGATACATTTAAAAAATGCAGAAAAATTAAAAACAACAAAACTAGAAACTGTGAAACAGAAGGGGTGATTATGGAGATACTGCCTGCTTCTAGCTAAGGTACTACTCATCACTTCTAGAAAAGAGAAGGAAAAGCAAGGATGTAAGGATGCGGATAATTTCTTATTTGGGCACATTAAACTTGAGGCAGCTGAGAGAGCTCTAAGCAAAGATGTCTTGAAGGTAGTTAGAACAAATGGAGTCACAGAATCTTTAGCTCAGGGAAGAGGAGTGACCAGCGGTATATCTGGTGATCATACATACATACATACAGGTAATCTTCGATACCATGAGCAGGCCCTACAGTTAAGTTGTGAGAAAGAGAGGGAGGGATCCATGAGAGAGAAAGAAGCGGCACGGAGGTAGAACCTGTAAGCAGTGCTGTAGTAGCATTTCCAAAGGAAGGCGACGATCTCCAGGGCCACGTGCAAGTGAGAGCAGAACATAATCACGAGGAAAGCACCCTAGCATGACTGCTTACGCATGCTCTTAAAAATCTGCAAAACGGAGTAGCGATAGAAGACAGGAGAGAAAGGTGACCAACGAGAAAGCAGGTTCTGGCAGAGATGGAAGGGGAGGAGAGCAGAAGGAAATGTGAGCCGGAAGGACCAGGAGACCAGGAGGTACGGGCAGCAGGACAGAACAGTTGCGCAGAGGTGGAGGGGCAGGATGCCGAGGGCCTCGCGCCTGGCACCTCGATCTTCCTGATGACAGAGGCGTCAGATCGTCTGATGTCGCATCAACCATTCTCTGTGCTGCTGCTATCAAAGGAAACTGCACTTCAGATGCAAACAAGGGGGACACGTGTGTTTATTCTTACCTTGTCCTGTTCCGAGAAGCATTCTAGGCAGCAAAGTGATATATTTAAATGTTGTCACTTAATTTCAGGAGTAGAAACTGTACCTTTTTTTCAGGTAACAATATAACAAAATTCAATGGAGGTACCTATGATGATAAGTCAGAATAACTCCCCAGATGTACACACTCCCCTAGGCACTTGGCAGCAGAGGCTATAAGCCCAGAATGGTGCTCCAAAAAAATTAAACCTCTGGTTCTAAAGGAAGGAAGAGAAGCTTTGCTCCCCTGTCTATAGTTTTGTTTTTTGTTTTCTAAATCTCAGTCTCTTGAGAGAAATGAGTTTTAATGCATACACAAGGCAGGTTTCAAGTTTGGAAAAGCTAGGGTTGTAAGACTCTAAGTCACCCTAGGCTCCTTTAGTTGGTGTGAGCAGGTTCACTCACCCCTAAACAGTACTAATATACAGCTTATAAAAACGTGTGTTAACGTCTATGTGCTGATGAAGAAACAAAGAGTAAAATAGGATGCACAAATCATGTTCTAATTATTAGCATTAATTCAAGCATACTCAGTGTATAGGAAGTTTACAAATAGATCTAGTGTCTTTAAAAGTAAAATAAAAACGGTGACGATTTAATAAATAAAGTGAAGAGCCAAGTCCCCAATCCTTCTCACCAACCTGCAATCGTAGAAATCTGGCTCACTGGGATGGTGGCAGCCTTCTGGAGGTCCATCTTGATCTTTTTGGTCTGCCAGGAGAGAACTGTGAGAAGACCGATAGCGTTTGGAAGAGATGAGCTGATGCCACTTAGGATAAGGGAATGTGCCAATGCTAGCTGTCCCTTTGGATGAGGTATAAAGCTGACGGGGAGGATTCTTGGGCCCACAGAATTCCCACAGTACAGCTCTCCTACCTGACTGTCCTTGCTGTTGGTCAGTCCCTCAAAGGCCAACGTACACTGACGGGCCGCATCCTGCAGCTGCTGGTACCACTGCATTGTACTGTCTTGTACTTTCACTGTGAGGTCTGAGGACAAAAGAGAGGCTTTAGGAATAGCTAGTAATTATGAAGCACTTATCATGAGCCAGATCCTGTTCTCATCACCTTACATATGTACTCATTGTTTCATTAACTGGTCCCAGGCACCCTATGAAGTAGATACTGTTAAAATCGTTGCTTTACAGATTAGAAAACAGGCACAGAACTGTTAAGGAATTGGTCCAAGATCACCTACTAGTGAAGTAGAACTAGACTCCCACTGATCTTAACGTCAGAGCCAGCATTCTCAGCCACAGTCTCCTATATACTCACGAAGCCTCACATAAGGCAGCTTCCAAAAGTTCATGGAAAATTCTATTCTCTGTCAATTCCACTTAAGAACTTTTTAAAGTATTTACTTAAAACATTCAGAAGTAGCAATACTGGGCAGTATATATCTCACTAGAATCAGAGACACTGTTAAGACCTCAAACAAAGTGTTGCAATCTGAAGCTAGACTCCCATTCCACCAAACTTAAATGTATGGTATTACATAAAGGCCCTGGTTAGTTCATTACCCTACAACTGAACATAATATTCAAACTACAATGCTGTCTCCCTTCCTGTTCTAGAACACGAGCTAATTTAAAGAGCTATAGCCACACCACAGTGAAACCTACCTTCATTCTGCTTCCCCCCCGGACCCTGGCTTGGAGCTGGGAAGGCTTTCTGGGCTTCGGGCTTCTGCACCTGTGCCTCTTGCTGTTTTACCCGGGCTGCCTCTTCATCCCGCCTCCGCTTCTCTTCGCAGGCTCTGGTGATCTCCCGCTCCAAGTTCCTAAGGAGGTCCCGCATTTCATGCAGAGCTTGCTCAGCCACTGCTTGGTCCTCAATGGTGGGAAAGACACTCTGCCAGAATGACAGAAGGAGAGCTTAGTGGCTATTCCCTCAGCACCGCACCCAAGTCAGTTAATGAAGTACGTACATACACACACAGCATTGCAGCTTGTGGTTTTTAACAACCGCATCACGAGTCACTATATGGATATACCAAAAATCATTTAAACAACTCCTTATAATGGGTATTTGTTTCCAATCTGTTATCATAATTAGCTCTAAGTGATATTTTCACATATGCATTTTTGCATATTTATTTCCTTAGAATAAATTCCCAAAATAGCACCAGCAAAATGTCCACATTGAACAGGCTGGAACTTATTTATCCTCTCTTAAAGATAAATATCATTTTAGCTTCATATACACAGTGTTTTAAAGTATAGGGGTTTTTTTTAGTGAATAAGGCGGGGAGTGTGGAGTGCAGACCCAAAGCCCATTTGTAGGCCATTTGGAGATCCCCTTGCAGAGAGGTCTTGGGGAGGAGACGAGCCAGTCAGGGTACAATGTAGCAACGATGAAAAATACAACTTTCCTCTAGTTCCTAAAAGCTCCCCACCCCTCCACTATCATGATCGGAACTCTACCTTGTAAGAACTCTACCTTGCAAGACCAGAGAGTGTACACTGGTACAGATAGGAAATGGAAACACAGGGAACCCAGGGCGGATGATCCCTTCAGGACCAGTGGTGTGAGTGGCAATACTGGGAGGGCAGAGGGAAGTGGGTTGGAAAGGGGGAACCGATGATAAGGATCTACATGTGACCTCCTTCCTGGGAGACGGACAACAGAAAAGTGGGTGAAGGGAGACGTCGGACAGGGCAAGATATGACAAAATAATAATTTATAAATTATCAAGGGTTCATGAGGGAGGGGAAAAAATGAGGACCTAATGCCAGGGGCTTAAGTGGAGAGCAAATGCTTTGAGAATGATGAGGGCAATGAATGTACAAATATGCTTTACACAACTGATACATGTATGGATTGTGATGAGAGTTGTATGAGCCCCTAATAAAACGATTAAAAAAAAGAAACAACCAAAAAAATAAATATACTTTTTTATACTCTCACCAATATTTTTTATCACCAATAATTAAAAAACTGGCAATATAAAAAAAAGAAAATGTTTTAATTTGTATTTGATATGTTAAAGGTGCTCTAGAACTTATTTTCCTATCTATTGGACAATTTTATTTCTGCTTTTATAAGCTCATCCTATTCTTTGCTCATTTTTCCAGTGGGATGGAGGTAGAAAGTGAATGGGATTTGACTTCCCTGTCCCCGATAAACTGCAAGAGCTCTCTTTGTAATCAAGGATATTAAGCTTTGGTTTTAAATGTCTTTAATTTTCATGTACTCATATTAACAATGTCTCCCTTTGTAATTTTTTCCTTTATAATCACCCACACCTCTCATTTTAAACCACCTTGTTCAAGGCAATGAAGGAACAACAACAAAAAATTCAAGCTTAGTAACTTCTAGTGCAAAGATCTAGCTATCAGTTCATAATTAGCTTTCCCTATAGATATTGATACATACTTACAAATTACGAAGAAGAGGTGGTAAAACTATTTTTAAAAAATAAAGATCTTTATCTCCCACCAAACTTCAAATAAAGTTCAGGTGGGTTAGCTGTAGTGGGAAAAAAAACCCCAAACAGCCCATTAACTTCTTTACATAAAAAATGTCCAATTATGATTGAATAAATGATATACATTCACAGAAGAGTACGATGTGATTATCTAAGGAATGAGGAAAATTCTCTATGTTGATAAAAAGTGCTCCCCAAAATAGATTGTTAAGTGGAAAAAAGGCACAGAATAGTGCCCAGGGGAAACTACCTTTTATCTTGGAAGAAGGAGATACATTCGTACCGTATATACTCAAGTATAAGCCGACCCGAATATCAGCTGAGACACTTTTACCACAAAAACTTCATTAAAAAATGTGCTGGAATGCGATGTAACAATGATGAGAAATACAACTTTCCTCTAGTTCCTAAAGGTTTCCTCCCCGCTCCCACTACCATGACTCGAATTCGATCTTGCAAGACTGGCTAGACCAGAGGATGTACACTGGTATAGATAAGAACTGAAAATACAGGGAATCCAGGACGGATGAGCCCTATAGGACCAGTGGTGTGAGTGGCGAAACAGGGAGGGTAAAGGGAGAATGGGTAGGAAAGAGGGAACCGATTACATGGAACTGTGTGTGACCTCCTCCCTGGGGGACAGACAACCGAAAAGTGGATGAAGGGAGACGTCGGACAGGGCAAGATATGACAAAATACCCATTTATAAACTATCAAGGGTTCATGCGGGAGGGGGGAGAGGGGAGGGAGGGGAAAAATGAGGACCTAATGTCGGGGGTTTAAATGGAGAGAAAATGTTTTGAGAAACGATGTACAAATGCGCTTTACAGAATTGATGTGTGTATGGATTGGGATAACAGTTGTATGAGTCCCTAATAAAATGGTAAAAAAAAAAAATGTGCTGGAAAACTCGGCGTCTACACGACTATATACGGTATGTACCTATTTTCTTTGATTTAGAAGAATGGCACAAAACCCTGAGCTACTAGAAATGGTCACTTGGAATTAGACTTCTCTGAGTACACGGTTTTATAGTTTTGACGTATTTTTAAACCCAACTGATTCTGAAATTGGTAGAATTCTTTCCTGTGAAATAAAGAGTAATTAATTGCTCTATTTAGTGGGATAGAGCCTCATAGCAAAAAGAACAGCACAGAAATCTGAAGTGTTTTCAGCAATCATATTGTCACCATTGGCATTACTTTGAAATTACATACATGTTTAATTTTATATACATTTTATATATATAGTAAGATTACATAATCTTAATGTTTTTAGGAACCGAGATTTTTACTGTAGGAAAAAGACACAAAAATCAAAGTAAAAAAGGTCGTAATCATATATTTTGAGTGGAAAGGCTAGTATGGTTCACAGTTTTCCCTTAAGAAACAGGTACCTCTCTTGGCTCTGTCTACTCAAAAGGCCTAGAAATAATGACAAACCCCATTAGACCATGGCCTCTCAATACTTTCCTACTAAAAAGGGACTAGAGTTCCCTAACAAAATGGCTAATTTCAGGTCTGGGCAAGAAAATGGTTGCTCCTTCTTAGAACAACTCCTACTGGGTCAAGATCAAAAGGGTCGTGAAGCCATTCTGAAGGGGATACCGATGGCCAAAGATGGGACAATTTGAAGAACAAAAAAATCACAGTAGGTTGTAACATATTACACATCAAATATATAAAAATCTCTAAGCTTATAATGATGTTAAAAACCACAACAATATAAACATGCATGCCATAATTTTAGCTTCAGCACAGGAAACGAACTCATTATTTTGAAAACTCACAAAAGGACAGAATCACACATTAGTTTGCCTTTCCTATTGCAATTGCACCTCAAGATAAACCGTTAATAGGTAAAATGTCTTCTTTGTGGAGAATTCTAAATTAATGGAGGAGAAATGTGAGAATTAGAAAACTGGAAATTTTACCACATCGAATGAAGAAACAGAGGAGAGAAAATTAGGGTAGTGTTCCAATTCATATATGCACAGGTTTATTACAAATAAAGCATGTTTACACGTGTCTTTGTAATCAGTGGCTGCTGTAGCCAGGTTCTCTGCAATACACTTGTCCTTAGTTTTGTTAGGATGCCTTCAAGAAAAAAAAAAAAGAAAGAAAACAAAGGTCCACATCTAACCAACCACTACAGCAGAAACCCATCACCTTAGACTGAGGGGGAGGCAGTCAGGAAAGAATGATGCCTGCCTCGTGGAATTCTCCAAGCAGGAACTAGACCGAAGGAACTAGCTGAATTGTCCTCCCTGGAAGTGCTCACTCCTGTACTACTTGTAGAGCAGCAGAACTGTCGGCAGGTGGGTGGGAAGCACAAGGCCTTCTCGGTTGCAAAGGGGAGGCCAGAGCCTCCTACATTTCAGAGTCAGATCTTTCCCAACTAGATTCCGGTGTGAAGCTGCACTCTAACACTGAGAGGGCAGGACAGGGCAGGGCGGTCATGCCCAAGGGAAGACAAGGCTTGCAGGGCTGAAAGGTTGACGTCCACATTCAGATGGACTAGGACAATGTGGCTACCCAAAGTCAAGGAAGCACAGTTGCCATTCTAGTAGGCTTGGCAGGTTGAGCTGAAGTCCAGGGTCAAGGGTAAGGCCTTTACTCAGAGAGTCTCACAGAACAAATGATTATTTTCAAGTTTTGAGAGCAATATAATTTGTCCTATTGGCTTTGGGATTAGTTGGTGCCTGTTACCCCTTCTTCCCTTCGAATTTCTCCCATTTCTAACTGAAAATACCTACCCTGTACCTGTTCTACCATGGTGCTTTGGAAGTAAATGACTAGTATTTTAGAATTCATAAGTTCACAAACGGGAGAGGAATTTACACCCAAATGAAATGTTAAATCTCACCCATATTTGATTTAGATGGTTCAGAAGATAAGATTTCTAGAACATGGAGTTGATTTAAGGCTTTTGGGATGATGTAATGGGTTGAATTGCTCTCTGCATAGGCTAAGAAAATGAATTGGGGGGGGGGGAACGACAAAGGGTGGCATGTTATGTATGGATTGAAGTATATTCCCCACCCCACAAACATGTGTTATAGACGCTAACCTATTTGCCTGTAGTTATAACTTCATTTGGGAAAGGATTGTCTGTTACATCAATGAAACGAGTTCATACAGGGTACATCTAAGTTAATCTCTTGAAATAAAAGGGGAAAGAAGTCGGATGGGGAAGACTGACCCTAAGCCACATGGATATAGACGTCTACAGAACAGGAAAGAAGCTGAAAAGCCAACGACCTTCTCTATGGTCAAAAGAGAGAAAGCTTTCCCCTGGCGGCAGTATCCCTGGGCTTCCAGTTCCTGAATACTGCAAATACTCATGGAAACGCCGAGGTTTTTCAGCACACTTTTCTTTCCCAGCACATTTTTAATGCCGTTTTTGTGGTAAAATTAGGTGCCTC